AGTTAACTAATAACTTGAAAAGAACCTCTACATTCCTATTCTTATAGATTACCCACCTCTACCATTATGAAAAATAACACAAAGTATACACATGTATATTATTCTAAATTGCCAACTTCTGCTATTTATAATAAATAAGAAAAAGTAGCTCAAAGAATACAAGCTTGATGCTTCACACCATGCATTCCCACGTTAAATGCAAGCGGAGACCAATAAGCCTAAACTTTCATGGTTTGCCAACAATTTATAGCAACGGATAATTGAAGTCTATTAGATCCAGATAAATCCTTTGTGTCTATAAGTCTATAACAAATGGCAGAAGGCAAAGAGAAGCTAAATGATTAACTGTGGCTCAAATGTATCCATGAACTTCTAACACCTACTCATGTTTCTTAAAAAAAATCTTATGGAGGAGCATGGGTTGATGGACTAGTTTTTGCGGAAACATGTAAAACTAATAGTTTCATATATCTCTTGAATTCAATAAAATTTATTATAATCATGTTGACAGCATAGACATGGATTTACAGAAACAAAGATGGCAATATATATTTTTCAATCATGTAGGGCCGCTTTACTACAAGGGGAAATCATGCAAAAACCTAAAAATTACCTAGAAAAATCATTATGTAAAATGAAACCTAAAACGAGTGAAAACAACGTGGTAAGTATTCCATTCATTCCAAATTGAATGTAATTATTATTTAATTAGGTGCAGTGTAATATGAAACTAATCATTTTTCTTATGTTACATTGCCCATGACAACAAAACAATACTATCCCCATCCTAAAGTATAAGTGATTTTGAATTGTCCCAAGTATAACTATTCTAAGTTTGATCAAATTTATAGAATAGAACAATAATATTGATAATACAAAAATGCATTTTCGTAATTTACCTCTTTGATGTGGTAGGTGCTAGCACTTTTTTCTACAAATTTTGTCAAACTCATGATAGTGTGCTTAGCACAAATTGAGATCCTAGTAACAAAAAGATAATTTCAAATAATCTAGTAGAACCACTTAAGTTTTATCCTAAATTTACAGATTATTAATCATAATTTTTTATAAAAGATTTTGAAGTTTGACACAACTACAAAATAATAAAAAAAAAAATCCATGGAAGCCCCCACTAGATAGATCCTTTTGTTTTCACTTTACTAGATTTTGAAATGAATATTTTGGACCCTAAAAGAATTCAAATGAAAAATGTGTTGCAGATATCATCTACTAAAACTTTGTTTTGATCGTTTCTCCATCCAGAGTTGTTTGAAAATTTAAAATTTTAAAATCATTAATATTAAAACAGAATTTCTAGGCCCTAACTGTTTTTTAAATGGAAAAGTCATCAACTACAAAATTCCATATATCTTCGAGTACTACAATTTTAGTTTAGGCCGTTTCTCCATCCAAGATACTTTGAAAAGCTAAAAAAGGTTAATTTCAAATTCTGAAAACTTAAATCAGAATTTATATGTACTAAATGATTTTAAATGAAAAAGTTGGCAGCTATAAAGTTGTAGATTGCTATGAGTATTACAACTATGGTTTTAGTCATTTCTCTATCTAAAATCATTTGAAAAATTTTAAAATATTGAATTTTAAATTATGAAAAATTTACACAAAATTTTTGTGGCTTCAATGATTTCAAATAGAAAAGTCTTCAAGTACTACAACTCTAATATAAAGTTTATTTTCAACCTATTTGATTTAAAAAAATAAGAATTTATTATGCTACACATATTTTTAGAGACGGGCTAAATTGCCACTCAGAGGCCTCTAAAATACATGCGAGCTGGCCGGCTCAGAACCATTTTCAGATGTGAATTTACTAAGCCGCCTCTAACTGACTTTTTTTAGACAGAAAAACCTCCGTTACCAGGCGACAGTAGTAGAGGAAGTACCAGATATCGTCGTGCACCCCAAGCAGCAGGCCCATCTTCTCCCTTGCCGCTGACGAGGCGACGCGGAGCGCGCTGCCCACCAGTGTGGTGGCCATGCCCAGCGCCGTCTCCGCCATGGCGGCGCTGCTCTCCCTGCAGCTGCTGCTTCAGTCTTCACCACTCTCTCCTCCTGATCAGTATACAGCATACGCCTATGAGATGATGGTCGATGCAAGTGTGCAGCAGTGCAACTGTATGCGTGGTAATTAGTACATAACTAATCACTACGATTAGTTATCACAGGTGGGCTAACTGCAAAGATGGATGGGAACAGAGCACGTCTGCAAACTGAATAAGATGCTGATCAGTATACAACATACGCCCAAAAGATGCTGTCCTCTCATTTTGCGTTTGCACGCCTCTGCATCGAGGAAGTAGAAGTAGAAGTAGAACAGAGCACCAGCAATGCAAAGCCAGTCAAGCGCCGGCGAACACAATTGGGCGAGATCCCGCGCAGATCGGCGCGCGTCTCGCTCGGGACGGCCTCGAAACTGCCGTATCCCGGTCCCGGCCTCCAAAGAATAGATTGGCTAGGAAGACACTCACCCACGTCGGCGGTGGCGGCGGCTAAGCAGAGTCGCAGGCGGCAAGGTGAGGTCCCCGGAGCTCGCGGCATTGGCCACCAGCACAGTGTAGAGAGGGAGAGCGAGAGGAGGGGGCAGGGGAGAGTGGTGCTCTGAACTTGTGCTCGTGCTCGTGTTTTGAACGCTGTGCAAGTTTGCAACTTGTTGTGTGTGCAGATGCAGCATGAGCCATGGCGGGGACAAGCTTTTAGCCATTTGTTAGACTGTCTCCGACACCACGTAATGCACAGTGTTTTAGCTCAAGAAAACCGACTCCAACGGAAGACGCAAACGGAGCATGCATTTTGGGTACGAGGCAAACCGAGAGGCTTATTTGCGTCGTCTTTCTCCAAGACGCAAAGTCTTCGGCGCCCGTAGTGGTGGGCCCGTAGGAGGCGTCGGGGTGGAGCAGAGGTGGGTGTCAGGCGGGACCGCGGCGGGGCGTGGCCGGCTCGGCGAGGCGAGCTCGCCGTGGGAGCAGCTCCGGAGCTGCCGGCCTTGGCTGCCTTGCCGGATCTGGGACCGCTCCCCCGCTGCCGGTGATGAGCAGCGTCGCGCCCGGGGAAGAGAAGGTCGTCAGGGTCCGGCTCCACCCAGCTCGCGTTGTCCTCCCCGCCTCCGCCTCCGCCTCCGCCGTGGGCGTACGGCTTGCGCGCAGCGTGAGGAGCAGGCGGCGCTCCAGCCCGCCCGCCACGCTGCCACGCCGAGGGAGAGGGAGAGAGAGAGAAAGGGGAGGCGGACGGGAGCCACGGCACGGGCGGTGTGGGCGGAGGCGTGGGGGTTGGGACGAGGAGTGAGGGAGAGAGAGACGGATAGAGAGATGGAGGAGGCGATGAGATATTTTGGGCAGGCGCGGGCGGCTGTTGGAGAGGGACGGTTTTACGTCGGTGACCTATTTACTGTACAATGGTCTGCAAATTGTTAATTGTGTTATCGAGGGCGAAACGGGTAGGTCACATGAACAGGAGAGGTAAAAGACATTAATAAAGAGGAAACAGACAAAAGTCCTGTAAACTAAAAGAATCAGTTCACATGGTTAAGCTTTGATAGGACAACTAGTAGGAAAGGAGCAGCGTCATTAGCCCCCTAATCATGTGGTTAAGCTTTGTTTATCTTGGCTTATTTTGCCTTCTTTTTATTTATTTATTTATTAGGGCTAAGCTTGGAGGGTTGCTCTTGTTTGATCTTGCTAATAAGTTTACGAAATACAAACTTGATTTTTTTTAGAAATAACTTGTGAGTTTAAGAGGGGCTGAATTGTTGTAAAAAAAATTAGTGGTAGAACTTTAGACAAGAGGTATGTTTTGTTTTGTTTTGTTTTTTGCGACAAAGAGAGCCTTTTAATACTGCTCAGAAATAAAGTTACAATCGTGCGCAGTAATATGCTATACACAAGCTTCGGTCAAAAATATGCTATATAAAACACAAGATGGTTGAATGCCTTGTCCTTTTCGCCAGCTGTGCAAGCTCATGATTGTGCTGCCCTGCCCCTGTTACACTCTGTCCTTTTGTAGATAACTCTGTTACAGCTGTGCAAGCTCATGGTTGGATCCGCCAGAACATTTTCCACCCAGGTCGAGACCCTTGCAAAGATGAGGAAGATTGTCGGGCCCCTTGCTCTTCCTGCTGCTGTAATGCCAGTGCTGGCCTATATGCACTTCGAACTGAATATATATAACCCATATGCTTCTCATAATGCCTGGCTAAAAAATCATCTGATGGCTCATCGGGATCTTCAGCTTAGAATTTGATCTGCATCATGAGGCCTGAACAGGTCCAGGACCAAATCAGTTCTCCTCCACTCACGTCTATCCTGGTTTATGAGTTGGCTCACCCACTTAAGACCTTGTTTGATGTATATGTATTTATCTCAATCCACATGTTGAAGTGGATTGAAGTGAAATTAAACTAACTTCCCCTAGCTCCTTGATTGCTTTCTGACTTGTTCGCTTGATATCCACTCTCTCTAGTATCTGTAGCTCTTTTAGTTTTCCCACTCCTCTAGGTAACTTAATGCCAGATGAATAGGACCAACAGCTAGACAAAGCCATGTGCAGGTCAGCAGTTGCAACAGTATCACTCCCTAAATAATACATGGCATCGTTGAACCATTCCATGGGTCTAGCTTTACGGAAATAAAAATAACCATGTTCCTTGCTACATCGAAGGCTGCGGAGGTTACGGAGCTTAGTGATTTCTATTGGTAGGGTCGAAACTTTTGACTTTTGTAGGTCTAGAGTCAGCAAACCTTGCAGATTACCTATAGACTTTGGAAGTGCATAAATATTATTTGGAGACTTTGGATAATGCAAGTACTTCAAGTGTAGCAACAACCCTATGTATTTTATGCCTTGTTGGCGTGCCGCAAATTGAGCATGTTTTAAATCCAGAATCCTCAACATCTTGAATTTGGATGAGCAAAGTAAGGATGCTAGCTCCGGAGGCTCACTGAACACAGTTAAAGACCGGACACAGCTTAAATCCATGGCAATGTTCAGTTTCCTGCAAGCAACACATGACAGATGCCGGATACTATACCAACTCTTGTTGCTATGTTGGAGGTGTGTTCTCCATGTATGAATGCATAGTTCTCCTGCTTTGAGATTGACACCGCAATATGATGCACAATGTCATGAATTCTGCATGTTTTCACCTTCCCCATATTATCTAACTTAGATGGTTGAATCATGCACCGGCTGATGAGCTCATAGAAGTAATTTTCAGCAACTTCTTCGAGTGTTCTTGTACTTGTGTCATCTGCTACCAACCCTTCAGCTACCCACCTATTCACTAGGTGTTTTCTTTCAATCTCAAAATCTTCAGGAAAGATACTAAGATGCAGAAAGCAAGGCTTGAGATGCCAAGGGAGGTGGTTGTAACTAAGGCTAACCACTCACCTTAGCGCATCAAGGCTTGGATTAGTTGCAAGATCCCAGGGGAGTTGCTTGTATATACTCTCCCACTCCTCTGTGTCCTTATTGGCAAGTAGGGCTCCAATTGTCAGAATAGCAAGTGGTAGTCCACCACATTTGTGCAATATTTTTTCAATTATTCCTTTGGTTTTGTCACCTTTCTCTAGGTCATCAAGACTTCTCTTTGTCTTTTTTAGAAACAAGGTTCTAGCCTCTTCTTTCCCTAGGAATTCAGGTTGGTGGATGTGCGATGGGTGACTAATACAGTATTCAGCTAATGTATGATTCCTTGTAGTCACTACCACACAACTATCATTCTTACCACTATATTGGAAAGTAACCTTAATGAGGTTCCATGCATCAATGGTCCAAACATCATCCAAAACAATAAGGTACCTTGTTTCCTGAAGTCTTTTGGATATGTAGTCAGCAAGATGTACTTCCAGTCCTTCCTGCCCTTGTTGATCTTTGAAGAGCCTGTTCAATGACTCAGCTCCAAAGAGTTGCTTCACCATCTCCTTAAAAATCTCCTTTTGGTCAAACGACTGTGACACTGTGGTCCAAGCACGGGTGCCAAACATGTCACTAAGATCCTTGCTATCAAACACCTTCTTGGCGAGAGCTGTCTTGCCGAGGCCGCCCATCCCAACAAGGGATACCACTCTTGGACCAGCATTGGAGGTTTCATGTTCCTTGGGTTCCTTCAATTTGCCTATTAATTCCATCAGTTTCTTCTTCGGCTCATCCAAACCAACAAGCTGGGATTCCTCAACATTTAAAGCCGCGAAATTCCGGGTGAACTCTGTGTCACCTATCACATTACTGGAGGTGGATGGTGTGAGATTGATGGCACTGTACCTCTTATTACTTTGGCTCACCTCCTGGACTCTTAGTTTGAGAGTCTTTATCTGGACAGCAATGCGATGGCGCTCTTGCAAGCTGAGAAGTTGCTGCCGGAGGCTCTTGTGCTTGACGAAGACCATGAACTCCTCTAGGCTGTCCTCAACGTCATAGGCCAAGTCGCGGATCAGCTCCGAATACGCCTTTAGCACCCCAATGTTCTCACGTGCCCCGTCAGCTCATCGCTGATGAACCTACAACAAAAAGGATAAATAAGTATGCACCCCATTTATTTTGAATATAATTTTTCTTTCTCTTGTAATATATTCCACCAGATATAAGGTCAATATGCTTCTAGGAATTTGAATAATATGTTGGCAGTTCCCAAAAAAAATATTTATTATGTCCGGACATAAAAATGAACTAGTTAGTATATATACGATGTGATGACCACGTCCAGCAACGGGACACACTGACGCTATACCTGTAAGACCACTAATATTATGTGGTCCAAAAAAAAAGAACCACGAGTTCATTAATATGGTGTGTCTATTTGATAAATAAGGAGGTTTTAAGGGTCTCTTTGCCAGAGCTCCACCAGCTCCAAATTCATGAAAAATAGTTCTAGATTCAATTTTTCTTGCAAAATGGTTCTAGCTCCACCGGCTCCACCTTGGATCTACTCCACCAAAACAGTGGATCTGCTCCCGATTCACCAAATTGGTGGCGCACCACAATGGGTGCTCCACCAAATTCAAGTTTGGTGGAGTTTAACAAAATTACCCACCATGTCGTGGATTACACAGAAAAAAAAACAGTTTGTTCTATTCTTTCCCGTCTTCTTCCCCGTCCTTCTATTCTTTTCCATCTTCCCCATCGCTCGACACCATTGCCCGCGACCTCACCCTCGGCTAGACGCGCGCCCGCCCCCAGCTAGCAGCTACACCACCCCCAAAGCCGCGCCTGGCCACAAGTGCCGGCAGCGGCCACGAGCTCCGCCCCTGGTCGAGGACGTGCGAGGTCAGACGAAGAAGAAAATACCATGTTTTGTTTTGCATTTTTCATTATGCCCCTAACGCGTGGGGTCTAGATGGAAGTGCAACAGAGATGGAGGTGGAGCTGTATCAAACACTTTGACAATCCCTGCTCCACAAGTGGATTCAGCTGAATCTCAGATCCATATTCACTTTTTCCAGTGCTAAAGCTCTACCAAAGGGGGCCTAACTCCTAGAGGCAACCACATACGCAATAGATGATGGCTGTAGCAAAAAAATCACCAGACAACTCGAGGATCTGCCTGAAGGATTAAAAAAAGTTCACCTCAACCCCCACGCATGGATAGAACAAGGCGAAGGCTACGACTCCCGCGCAGAGGCGTAGTCGGTGCCCACTGGCTGCGGAGGACGCCAGTATGCGACTGGGCAATGCCGCCGCAGCAACCGTCCAAGGCACCGGGATGTGTCGGCCATCGGGTGATGCCACGGGCGCTTGGCGCTATCCGCTTGAGCCGCTCAGCCCACCCCCACCAGAATCTGAATCACACGCGCCTCCGCCAGTCCGCCCTCCGGCACGGCTTGTTCTCGCTGTCGTCGCCGCAGCGGATGTTGATAGGAGCCACAGGGAAAGGACACGTGAGGGGTAGGGATGGAAATGGATTGGGTTCGCATCAAATCGGATTCGGATATCACCTTTTACACAAATGCGTCATGACATGAATGAACTTGGGTGGTGGGTGACATGAGTGGTGTGGTGTTGACGAAAATTTGCAGCTCTAAAAATCAAAGCAAGAAGAGTGAGAGAGAGAGAGAGGAACGGAGGGGGAGAAAGTGAGAAACGCAAGAAATTTTTACTCTTTACTATTAAAATAGATAGATAGATAGATAGATAGATAGATAGATAGATAGATAGACATATCCGTGTGTTGTAACGGGACACATAACTTATGTGCAGGTGCTTATACCAATGATAATAAGTTAGCTATTTTTTTTGTTTTAATTGAGCTTGACCCTACCTTGAATGAAATAAATTTCAAGGTCTATAAAATGCTAGTAGAATAAAGTATCAATTCTTTATGCGAAATTGGCAAGAGATTGACTCAATTTAAATATGACTATTGTTCCCCCGCCAATTATCAGTTTCTTTTTTTCTTAAAAAAGATAAAATGTGAGCCCACATGCGTGCAGCGACGTGAACGAGCTTGAGCGTCAAAATGCATGAGTAGTGTGGAGCCATGTCATTGTCCCTAAGGTCTCTCTATGTCTACTATACATTTCGGATGCGCTAAGCTAAGGGCCTAAGGCTACAGTCACACTTATACCATATTTTGGATTTTGGATTAATAAAATACAATAGATATTTCAAACTAGTCCATATGAAAGGTTTCTTTCAAAATCAATGCCCCTATGCGAATATCATACTATTACTAGAGACTCCTTTTTCTGCTTCAAAGTTAATCCTCACGTGAGGTGCCAAGGGGAAAAAATATATGAATCCCAGAAAGTGTAAAAGGAGAGAAACACACATTTAGACTCTAATCAATATCAGAAATAATAGACATTGGATCTAGTATGCTTCTAAATTATCTACATCTCTCATTATGAAACTAAACCTAAAATAACCTTTAAGTCTACATCCAAATTACGTACCACTTGCATCTAAATTGGTATCTAAATTATTCATCTATATCATTATTAAAATAATATAAAAGATTCTATAAAATTGCATCTAAACTGCCTACTTCCTCCATAATTATTAAATAACTTCAAATAACCCTCTAAAGTTCTCCATCTAAATTATCTACCTCCATTCAGCTTTGTTAGGAGGCCGATCGTATCGTGGATTATTTTTTCTTTGGCTGGTTTGGTGTGAGAGAAAAACACATTCTGGCTGAAAATTTCCGATCGTTTTACGAGCAAGCGAACAGGCTGATTATTATTAAAAATAACATAGATTACTCCATATATGATTCTAGCTACTTACTTCTACTATTATAAGTAAATAAAAACTAACTCAAAGCATGCATGATTCTTGACACTACACATTCCACATATGCGTGCATGCAGAGAGCGATAAGCATATATTAATTTTCATATTTTGTTAGAAAAAGAAATTTTTTAATCCATCCTCTGTAAGAGATTTGTACACATTAGCAATCATTCATAACAACTGAAAATTAAAATCTGACCGAGTGGCGGTGCAGGTTCAGCACCTCCCCTTCGGGCTAGTCGAGTTCGAGTCCCGAGGACTCACTCTCGTGGCATCAGCCAACGATTGGGGGAAAAAACTCCTCGTTCTAGATTCAATGGTCAACTCATCACATGGAGCTGCGGTACCGGCTGTGTGTAAGGGTGGAGCAGGGGTTCAGGGGTTTTCTTAATCCGCATGAGAAAATCTTCTTCTTAAACCGGAACACCCGGGGCTATCTAGCCACCGCGGATTGAGTTTTTTTTACCAGGACAACATGAATCCTCAATACTACACAAATAATTTTGCTGACACCCGGAGGCCACCGAGGTCGGCACCTATTTTTGCCCGTCACGGTAAATGCCACGCGTTTACCTAGGGCGGACATTTTTATTTACCACGGCGGGCATTTTTGCCGCCACAATAAATCAATTTACCGTGGCGGACGTCTTAAGATGTCCGCCACGGAAAATACCTATTTTCCACGGCGGACGTCTTAAGGCGTCCGCCTACGTAAATCGATTTACCGTGGCGGGCATCCTAAAATGTCCGCCACCAGAATACCCTATTTTCATGGCGGACATCTTAAAGCGTCACACGGTAAATCGATTTACCGTGGTGGGCATCCTAAAATGTCCGCCAAGGTAAATCGATTCACGGAAACACATCACCCACATCCCTCGCACCATCATCGCCGCCTCCCCACTCTCTCTCTCTCTGGCTCCCGCCTCACCTCTCTCTCTCAGCTCTCCGCCTCCCCCACTCTCCCTCCGCCTCCCTTTACTCTCCCTCGACTCTCCCTCGATGCGTGCAAGTGGCCTCCTCCAAGGCACGCGAGGCCTCCAGATGGCGGATTGATGGCTGGGCAGGCGGCAGACGTGCAGGCTGCGCCTCCTCCTCCCCCACGGATCCTCCATGAACGACGACGGCGCGGGGCTAGGGTTTCAAATCTAGTGAGTTCATCTCCCTCTTCCTCTCCATCTCCCTCTTCCTCTCTCCATCTCCCTCACTCCTCCCTCTTCCTCTCTCCAGATCCGGCGACGATGACCTCTTCCTCCACGGATCTGGCGGCGGCGACCTCCTCCCCCACGGATCTGGCGACTGCACCCTCCTCCTCCGTGGATCTGGCGGTGGAGCAACCGGATCCGGCAGTGGATCTCCACCACGGCCACGACGCTGGGACCTCCACCACAACGGGCGAGGACGCATCGGCGTGGTGGCCTCCCTCCACCACGGCGTGGCGGGATCCGCGAGGAGGCACGGGGATCCGTGAGGAGGCGTCGGCCTGGTCCCCTGCGAGCGACTGGCGAGGTGGTGGCGGCCCTGCAGTGGCGTTGGCGTGTCCAGCCGGCTTCTCCAGAGACGCGGGCCCGGCCGGCTGCTCCTCTTCTCCCTCGAGCGGCACGGATCTGCGGCCATGGGATGCCCGGATCCGTTGCGGTGGGCTGTGATGGGCTCGAGAACAAGCTCACCGGTGGGCTCCTTTTTTTTTGTTTTTTAAATGATTAACGCGGCGGGCATCCTAACATGCCCGTCGTGGTAAAAGTATATTTACCACGGCGGGCACGCGTTACATCGTCCGCCCTGGTAAATCGATTAATCATGGCAAGGGCAAGGCTCTTCGCCATGATTAAGCCACGATTTACCGTGGCCTCTGTCACATGGCGGACGGCTTTGCCGCCGCGAAAAACCGAAAACGCCTCGGTAAAGAAAGTTTGTGTAGTAGTGCCTTAATATCTATAAGCATAGATGTTACGTTTGAATGTAAACAGATGATAGGGAGCAAAGCTGGCTAATTCTTAATAGTTGTAGGCTCAAACTTTTAACACTCGTGTCTCCTCAAATTGATTGATTGTCCAAGAGCATATGTTGATGTTGCTACTACTTGCTAAAATATGTAAAACTATCATCTTCATATATCTTAATACTTTGAATTCTTTGTTTTATTTTAATCTTGTTG